CGAAGAAGTTATAAAGTCGCATAGTTCATAACGTTCTTACCTTTTTAAGCGCGGTGTTTCTGTATTATGCTAAAATTGTAAATTGACAAATGACAACTACATTAAGTAGTTGTCATTTGTCAATTTACAATTTTAGCTTAATTGTAATACTTTGTAACAATTGATGATAAATCCACGGCTATGCCGACCCTTTCACATAGCTCGAGGTCAAAGATCAACTTCAGATCTCTTGTTGCATATGGAATAATGTGTAAGAAATTATAACTACAAACAATGTTTCAGGTAATGTTTAATTGCATACGTTCAGCAACGCGGACCAGAATGCTCAAGCCATCTCATTTAAATCTCTGACACCGACATAAATATCCCAGTCCGATATTGCCGCCACGGAAAATGGACTTATCGACTATAGCACCTTGAAGCGAGGGTATCGGCTTTCGGACAAGCGGCCCCGAAATTCGAGTCCTATAATAGGCTAAATTTTAATTACGTTTAGTTGTCCGGGAGCTCATTAGATGGTTTCCATCGACCTCCTCCAGCTGGCCTCGTAGCAGCCATTGAAAGTCAATGACACGTTTTCATAACGTTAGGTCGTCTACCGTACCAGATAGTTCTCGCCTTTGATGAAGGTGCTCGAGGAACTTGTGACATTAGAATATCCTTCGTCTGCTTGAGAATAATTGTCGTCTGCTTTGATCGTTATTCGAAGGATGAGTCTAATTACATTTCACTGGCTTGTTTACGTGCCCATGTCATTAACCGGATTCGTTGAAATTAGACATGTGATTAGTTCCTTGTCGCTGGACACACATAATGAACTCTTCGTTTGACAGATAGGACCTGTTGGGTGGGTGAGCCCCCCACCAAACTTCGCGGACATGCTTCTGGTCCGCGGGTTCCCGGATGATAGACACACGGGACAAGGTTCAGACCAACCTATCGATACCTGTCACAGCCACTTCTTCAACCAGTGACAAGGATACGTGAAGTTGATGTTGCTGTAGGAGAAATAATCTACGTCTTTAATGAGCCTTAATAATCGACGGGTATATATCTCATGTTAGCCAAGAAACTGTGTGTCAATGCATTCTTAACTAACCTCATTAAATTTCTGTCGTTGCGATGAAAAGCTTTTGCGGTATTGGTTGGATGAGGTAGCACGCAGATTTGCCGTTTTGTCGCCCTATGTGTGTGTACATTATGTAAGTGCATTCAAGGAATAATATCTCATATCAGGCGATGGGACTGAATTATTGATAAAAGAGATGTGTAAAACCCTCCTTAGTCACTGAATAATCTACTTAAATAATGATCCAGCGGGGATTTCAGATTAGAATTAGTCCCTGGCAATCGTCACACAAGTAAAATGTGTGTGTGTGTGTAGGGTGGGTGCTGGTGTGTGTGTGTGTGTGTGGTGGTGGTGGGGGGGGGGGGGGGGGGGGTGGGGGGTCAGCCTTGTGACTAGGTTGGCATGGCATCGTATCCGATAGCTAGGATCGTTGCTCACAATATCAATCACCGGACGGCCTTGTCCAGACTAGATTATTTACAGACCGCTGTCATATATCTGGACTATTGCTGAGTGTGGAGTTAAACAACATATAAACTTAAACTATTTCTCCATCACCACTAACTGAAATAGCTAAAATATTTCAAACTGCATTGAACCCCCGTCAATCCGGATGTCACGACTCACAGTGCTTTCGCTCGGATATGCAAAACACATAATTAATACAAAGTAGTGCCTCCTCACTGTCTTAAATAATCGTTCGTGTTTCTTGATTAACGGGGGAGGCTAGGCTTGGCCAAATTGGCAGCATTGCATGTGTAATTCAAGTCATTTGTTTGTCTCCTAACAATGATGATGTTTATCAGTCTAACAGTTAATGATCACCCTACGATTACCCTATTGTTACCCTAAGATTGCTCCTAGAGTCAATGTCTCGTCCAATGCGCGTATAACAACGTCTAGACCTAGACTGGAAATCGTCAACAGACCGCACAGGATAAGTCTTCTTGAACAGGGTTTATGTCGAGCAATATCCCTATAATATCTCTGCAGCATTTGGTGTTCACATTTCACAACTTTTGAGGAGCAGTCGAGCATGCTTTTTCTACGAAGATTTCAAAGAGCGTCATGCGACTCTTGCTCAGAAATTGTTTGACCAACGTTATAACATTCAAGGCCTCAGTAAAGCTTTCAGAAATGTTTATGGCAGGTATGTGTGAGTCATTTCCAAATACAGTAAACTACGGTTATAACGAACTCAAAGGGACTACTAATTTTAGTTCGTTATAACCGTAGTTCGTTATAAGTACATATACAGCATAACTACAGCATATAGTCGGGACCAAAAAGTAAGTTCGTTATATCCGTCAGTTCGTTATAAGCGTGTTCGTTATAACCGTAGTTTACTGTATGACGCATCAGTGACAAACAATTATGGCCAGTGCAATCCCCTAGTGTGACTTGTGCCATATGTTCGGTGATATTTAGATGAATAAGGGACTCGCCTTTGCATGTGTTTGTGACGGGTACATTCGGATAGGGTGCATTCACCTTTTCGTCCTAGTATCATCGCTATTTGATAGTGATTCATAAACAAATGATCACGATATGGTCGGAATTGTACAGTCGACTTTTACTTTTGGCACATATTTCTTATGAATATGGAAAGGCTTTTGCCGCTTTTATTCTCTACAGTCCCTTCTTTCAATGCCTCTGGTACTCAGAGTATGGTAATTCGTGGGCAGAGTGTTAAGGGTAATGCAGGAACCGCCGAGTGTGCTACTAGTACAGATCCTCCAGGCCAGATATCACATAAAGAATATACATGTTCCCTTACAATTTTACACAATACCCATCGAGGAGGCATTCAAGCAGTTTAACCTACACGTTACCTCGTCAGAGGAAAGCTATATTTGTGCTTGGATATAATTAAAATGCTAACACAGTGTGGGCGAATTATGGTTAATAAATCATCAGGACCTGTCAGACTTGGTATTTTAAATAATTTACAGAAACCACCACAAACACAACTGCGAACACAGTCAAGATCGTTCAGTACAAATATGCAGAAAATGCCAAAATACTTTTCTGACAATGGATCTTTAAGTGCATAGTAATGTTTATTGTTTTCTCATATATTTAAGAGACAGAGTGGATACAGATAGCAAGTTGCTTCCTGCTAAGCATCTTTTAAAGCGAGAAACATGGGAGAAGGATCATGTTGTCTGCAACAATATGGTGATAAGAATCAGCTCATCACATTACAACATGATTCGCCTCTTCACACACTGGCCAGTGCAGAGCTGTTAAGTCTGATAACAAGCAGCAGAAATATATTAAGTTAGCTTTCAAATTCAACCTGGAGATTATATATATTATACGTTTTCCGGGCTCTAGTTGTTTCAAAGAAAATAGATATTCTGGATACTGTCAATGTGTATTAAACATACAGATCAGTCCTATTCAGCAATGGAATGTTGCCTTTCACGTGATATATTGTACAAGAAATAGTATAGTGCATTACATTATATTGTATACATTACATCATTTTTCATTTATTAATCGTTAACAGTAAAAACCTAGTATCAGTCGATTTGAGGAGAAATCTAATGTTTGCAAGTTTCGGTAATTTCAATTCCACTTCCAGCTATACAAAATCATTTTTTTTTTAGAAAAGAATGTAATTCTCTTTTAACTTTTCTCATCTTTGTCAAGAAATGTCATTGACAGACATATCAGTGGCACTTTAAATTCGCGTTCGATCGACTGATCATTTAGGAATATTTCTGAACCCATTATTCAATCTGGATCATGCCTAGGGAACACAGTGCCGATAAAATATATTCACTGCATGATAACCTCACTGTCCGACTAGACCGGTAAAGATCCGGGGTAGAATAGGTCTTCAGCAACCCATGCTTGCCGTAACAGACGGTTATGCTTGTCGTAAGAGGCGACTAACTAGATCGGGTGGTCAGGCTCGCTGACATGGTTGATGCATGCACTTAATAATGTTTGAATGTTTATATATATAAATATAAATGGTGAATGTTTGAACATGTTCGCTATACCAGTATATGATATATACTGGTATAGCGAACATGTTTAAACATTCACCAGCATACATTGTCTATATCAAGTGAAATGTTCTTCAAGTGGTTGGGCGAACACTCAGTGAGTGATTGAGCGAGTTAATATTTTTGGATATTTATATATGTATATCCAAATACATCATATCAAATGGATGAGCGAACATTTGAGTATAACTAATAACAGACATGTCAGTTCCCCTACTGTTTCATGTCGCCAAATACAATAAGACAGTCAAATTGTAAACTTCGTTTTAACTAAAATGCATTTTAGATAATCTAGAATGCCTCTGCTCTTTGAAATAATGACACACGCAATGACATCCAATATCATAAACAAATTTGTTGGAAACTTGGACCTGCATCTTATTATCTGACAAAGACACAGATATTGTATAAAAAATTAGTTATTTTTAAGAATGACATAAAGGCCGGCACAGTTAAGAATCTCTTCCGGGAATGTCGGGGATAGAAGTTCTGAGGTGCGGGTTCTCCTTGTAAGTCTTTTACAAAAAAACAATTTGGGCAACTATATTGGGTAAAGAAGTGTCTGCATTGAGTAACCTTCCCTGATAATATAATAAGCACCACAGGTCTTTCAGATAAGATGGGAACCCATTCCGACAAGCATGTAATCCAATTGTTCTGGCCTTACGAAAACTATTGATTCTGTAAAATGGGAACCTAAGATGAAGAAAAGTTTATGTAAGGTGAAGAAATGTTTATGCAAGGTGAAGAAATGTTTATGTAAGGTGAAGAACAGTTTATGTATGATAAACCACCACTATCTGGATTCAAGCATGTGGCACTTTTTCTTTGCATGTATTTTTCCTCTTTGTTAACGTTATTTCCACGTTCGTGTTAAGTGTTACTCTGCCTATAAGTGTCTGCTTTCATTCCAGCTATGCACATTATTGATGATGTAGCCAGCGCTACTACAGACGAGGTGACAGAGCCGTGTCTGTCGCTGAGGAACAAGCTGGGCGTGTATACTGCCCCTGTCGAACACCTGGAGGTACGACTGCCTTCAGAGGACCGATTCAACCTTAAGCCTGTCTGCAGGTGAGACATACCACTATATGTTGTATATAAAGTGAGGGGAAGTAGGGGGAAGGATAGAAATGGAAGCATCTGCCTTCAAATTGTATGGGTGGCGGGTGGCACATTAGGACTGGACATGATTACCGTTTTCGCGAACACCTGGTGTCATCACTGATTATCAGTGATCCTGAATACATGACACTTTTTTATGAATAGCATCTTCTTTTATTCTTTGTACGACGTTTCAGATGAAGTAGCAAGAAGCAGCGCTGAAACGTTGTGCAAAGAATAAAATAAGTTGCTATCTATAAAAAAAAGTGTCATGTTTTCATGTTCTCCCAACGTCTAAATGATTAAAGACTTTATCAGTGATCCACTCATGTAATTTCACCGCTACATTGCCTTTTACACCCAATGGAATCTGCCTGATCAAAATGTTGGTTTTTTTAGCAATCGAGTGACACACCATGGCATTTCTTGATACCATGTATCGATACTACAGGGCAAACGTAAGTCTACATCCATGTTTGATGGTGGCTAAACAAAAAATAGTTATTCGATGGAGATATTTGCATCATATCAAGGAGTATCTCACAACAGGTGATGTGCACATGAGGTCTCAAGGAGCATGGGGGTCATAATTTCAATCCAATTGTCCAATGAATGCTTTCTCTTCCCGGCAGTTTATGTTAAATCTAGCAGTACATTTCAATCTGATCTAACGCAGTATGTTTCATATTACAGTCGGTTTTTAATTATCGAATTCATTTTGTTATAGACCCAACGAAGGACTATCATTTTTTTTAGTTATATCACAGAGTGAAATTTGATAGAGTCGATTGTAAGATTGCAAACAACTGGAATGATTTGGCTGATGTTATAATTTCAAAGATTAAAAACCTCTTTGTTCAAAGAACCAATTTAAAATGAAACAAGAAATAAATATCATGTTTGATTCCAATAGTGTTCATTTGTATATGCAATCAATTTTATCTTTGAGGATTACGATGAGCACTTGCTTCTCCCACAATTCAAAATGTCAAAGAATCAGAGCATTTGTCCCCTGTCTTCTCTCGTTGATGCAACCTGCATGTAACTAATTCGGATGCAGCTCTTGGGAATACGGTCATAGTTAAAACAAATTTGTAAAAACATGGAATTGTAAAAAACATTTTTTTTATTTTTAATAAGCGTCCTTTCTCTATACAAGCGTGATTGGTGGAGTTTCGAATCTGATGTGAATTGTAAAGAAACACATTAAATGCAATAAACTCAATCATGTAAAAAGGTCTTCGAGCCTTGAAACCCGATATAAGTATTTGTATCACCCCCGAACATAAAGAATTCCAAGACACCCTCAAACTCAGCCCTCAAACTCAGTTTTTTACATCTGAAAAATGCTACTAACATGACCATGTATCAAACGGTAACGCTTGTTACCTACGGCGATCTCGGGGATGACGAAAACCTCGCGTGAACCATAAGGGCAAAATATTGTAGAATAGAACCATACAAAGGGTATATTCCCAGTATTGCCACGCCTATAACGAACTGTACGCTATACCCGACATCTGTATATACCAAGGTTCCCATCAACCCGGTACGTTAACAATGGACCCGTGAAGATCCGGGGTAGAATAGGTCTTCAGTAACCCATGCTTGCTGTAAAAGGCGACTTTGCTGTCAACTAACGGGATCAGGTGGTCAGGTTCGCTGACTTGGTTGTGCATGTCATCGATCCTTGTTTCGTGGATCGATGCTCATGATGTCAGTCACTGGATTGTCTCGTCCAGACTCCATTATTTACAGACCGTCAAATAACTGTAATATTGCTGAGTGCGGCGTTGAACAACAAACAAACAAATAAAATGAAACTAAATTTCCCCAACTTGCCACGTATGTATCTGCTACCAACATCGAATGGCCAGTAACAGGGTTTTTATGAACTGAAAGTTTTGCTCTCAGAGAGACAGACTTCTGTTAAAGGGCCTCCCACGCATTTTCCTTGAGCACAGTTTGAATCTACAGACATAAAGGATGTTTTTACATCATTTTACTCTACTTAGAGATTGTTGCCAAACGTGCACCTGTGTACATCGACAATGAGTTTACCACGCGAAAGAGTTTCGCTTGGAACAGCCTTAATGCAAGAACTTGGCATCAGTAATTTTGTAACTTTGAAATACCTTGATCAACTTAAATGTAAACATATAATAATCATATATAGGATTAATGACTGGCTCCGTCATCAGGTTCCCATCTCCAGCTTTAGGCTAAATAGTGTAAGAAGTGCAATGCCTGGAGCTAGGCTGACATAGGCTAGATTTCAAGCTTTCAAAGCGTTTTATGGTAGACACGTGGAGGACATTTCCAAATTTGATGCCTCGGTGACAAAAATGGCATCTGATGCAATTCCATATTTTGACTTGTACAATTTGTTTCAGTGTTTTCAGGTGAACAATAGCAGAAATTGTATATGGACGCTTCATTTAGTAGGGATTTTCTTTGATTTTGAAAATGGTTTTACATGAATTTCGTATTTGCTCGAGTCTAGTGCCCCGTTATGTCAATTTGCATTTCTCAGTTTCTGTTTTGTATACAGCGTTTACTCAACAAGCTAGCAGTGGCCTAAGTAATAACAAGAGGTAGACAAAACGTCCTCTGCTGATTTCGTTATTCGTAAGGTTGTCGACATGTATATAGAAACATGAGAAAGGAAATAAGTGGCTGTTCCTTGTAAACTGACGTGCTTCTTCTATGTAGATAATATGTAGTGAGTGGGTGAGTGACGTTTACCACTTTGTTGAAACCCACAAGCAGGGTATGGTGCTGACAAATCTACCAACATTATCAGGGATGAACATAGGTTCCTGACACGCATAAGGGACGCAACTCTGCACAGCCACCCGTGCCCCCAGTTACATATGTAACATACCTTTACCGTCGTGTACGTCTTACGTTCGACCTTCTAAAGGCAACCTCTTCACTTTATGTATGTACTTTATAAGCTGGAGCGAAGCTTGACATATGAACATTGGTTTTGCCGTAGATAAATGTTGGCATAGTGTACACAGTTTATAATCAGGAACTATTTTGAAAATATATGTTTTCACATCAAGTATATTCATACTGATAGATTTGTGGAGCAACATTAAGTGGTATGTCAAAATATTATCATTCATCGATTAGACACATGCCCGTCATATAAAATGTAATTTAGTTAAAATCAATGCACAAAGCTCACAAACCGCCGTTTGTCAAAACATTCCAGCACGTGTCTAAATAAAGAGAGAACGTCCTCCACGAACACACTGATATGAAGCCATGGATATAACCAACTGAAGTTTAGATTATTTGTTCAAACTCAGGACGAGATAAAGCCACACGTGTTGTTACACTCGAATCGACAATCCTAATCTTGTTCCAGTGGTTTCACGACACAGTTGTGACGTTCATACATGAAGATTAGCGAGACTTGTCAATCTGGTGGCGAACACTGCCGGGCGTGTGAGGGGAAGACTGGTGCCATCTCGAAGTTTGTTAAAATTTCGGATAACCTGAGCGTGGAGAGTGAGTGGGCCAGTTTGTGAGGATGTTTGTGCGTGCGTGCGTGAGTGTGTGAGTGCGTGCGTGCGTGAGTATGTGCGTGCGTGAGTGTGTGAGTGTGTGAGTGCTTGCGTGCGTAATGTGAGTGAATGAGTGAGTTAGTGCGTGAGTGAGTGTGTGAGTGCTTGCGTGCGTAATGTGCGTGAGCGAGTGAGTGAGTGCGTGCGTGCGTGCGTGCGTGCGTGCGTGAGTGAGTGAGTGAGTGAGTGAGTGAGTGAGTGAGTGAGTGAGTGAGTGCGTGACTTATGACCTACAGAAAACAAAACTACGCTGGTAGGAGACATTTACCACTTACTGATGCCCCTGGTAACAAACCAAGGTTCATTATCAGGACGAATGTTGGATTCGAACCCACCCTCAACGGATTCTCTTAGCTGAGGGTCCCAGTCCTTGTAAACACACAGCAGGTTCTCTAATAATGAAAACTAGGTCACATGTGGCTTCACAAAGAAGGGGGCGTTGGGTAGCCTAGTGGTTAAAGTGTTCGCTCCTCGTCCCGAATACCCAGGTTCGGTTCCCCACATGGGTACAATGTGTGAAACACATTTCTGTTGTCCCCAGCCGCGATATTGCTGGAATATCGCTAAAAACGGCATAAATCCAAACTCACTGCCTCAGATGAAGGAGGTGATATCAATGGTGAAATAAACAACATTGAATAACCTTGAGGTCATATTTCGAGATAACTGATTTCATGATGAAGTCAAACCTCCCAGTACATGGTTTGTTTTCTCTCTTAGAAGCATGTGATTTATTTACATACTAAACTTTTAAAATAGTATCTGATTGATTTTCTGTCCTTGATATTATTATTAATTCTTGGAAAGGAGATACGTGTCAGCATTGTTTGTAGAAAGAAGGGCGTCTTTTGGTCCCATGGACCGAGTGTCTTTTCGTAACGAGAAATATCCAGGTACTTTCACCAAATGGCTACAATTTGTGAAGCCAATACTTTGCGTTCAACGCCTTGGCACAGATGCAATTTAAACCCGCCGTAAAACCCTACTCATTCACTTGATAACATGTGTTTACCATCAGCGTCAGCGTCACTTGTGCGGAGTTTGAATCTTTTAAAGGGTAATTTACACTCAAATGGATTTGGTTTGGTCGTTGACGTTGAAGTGCCAATTTAAAACAACAACACGGGCAATCTCGTGTCGTTTTGTTGTCAGTTAACTGTTCTCGGACATCTATATTGTGATTTTACTCTCTTGACGGTACCGCGAGCTTGTGTTCTTTGACTTTGTCTCATGATTTTGGGAGGATGTGATTTTAGTATGGTGCTTCGTGTTAAGACGAAGGATTCCGTGCGTCATTGTCTATTGGCTTGTAGTTCTTCGTTCCATCTGTACCTCTGAAATGCTCCAAGGCACCAAGGTAACGGTAAATCGATTCCTCAGACACGTTTCCGATTC